GAACTATTTACAAAAAAAAAGATTATTAAAAATTATTAAAAAATAAATTAAATTTCCGTATTCAAAAACGCGTGTATTCTTTTAAGGATGCTGTCCGATCGATCTTCACTCTATCGCAAAATTTCCGATAATTAGATTGTGGAAAAAGAAACGAGCGCGGTGCGGACACATAAGATAAGGCGCTGCCGTAATTAAGTGGCGATAGGGAACGGCGATCGAGGATTTAGTTCTTGTACATGCAAAGGAACATCAAAAGGAACGAGGCCGCGAACAGAAAATGGAATGATAGAGTCGGACTAGGTGGCAATTACTACGCGACAACATGCTGTGTCGATAGATATCCTTTTCCGCGATATAATTATTTACGTGGCATTTTATTCTAACAATTCGCGACATGTTACACAATATCGCTAATTAGTATCGAGAAAAACTTATGTCTCGCAAACTTATATCATTAATATGAATAATTCGTTTATCGCTATACGAAAGCATGTGTTTTTTATATCTTCTATATTCACGGATAATCCATTGAAGATTGGAACATCCATTTGATTAAAGGAAACCATATTATATGTTCATTACATATGAAATGATTATATCTCAGAACAAAAATGTCATACATAAGCAAATCCAAATAAATATAATTAAATATTTATAAATAATTATATTTATATTTTTGTATTTAAATAATTAAATTATAAAAATCAATATATATATAAATATTAATAAAAGTTATTTTAATTACTTAAAAAAATACGTAATTAATAATAAAAAACATGACTTTGTATCTCTTTCTTTCCCTCGTTCTTCTCCTTCTCGAAACTTGTCTTTATCTGCTGGTATCAGTTGTTTGCCCTGTGATACATACGTGATCATGGACCACAGTTAACATGGCGCGTATAATTTATGCCTTATAGAACATCCGACTATATACAGCCGCTTCCCGCGGCTGTATAACACGACGACATGAGTTAGGGCCACAATGGTGATAAAAATGCCTGGATAGCCCTGTAGGGCCCGTGACGTTATTATTCTAGAACCCCGCAAAGGATGCCTGTAGCATTAATATTAAAGGGACGCGAAAGTAAATCGATCCGGTTGGAAACGCTAGAGATTCGCGGAAATTCATCGAAATCATTTTATGACTAAACGCTTGTAGACAGTTTTTATAGGATTCATTTTTTCATTCATCACAATAATTGATAAATATTCTCAGTTACTATTTTATAATGATACTATAATTAATGGATAATAATCATTAATTGTTTTTTGTGATAAAAATGATAAAAATTATCTCGATGCCATATCACGATGATTGACGTGATCCTTTTCGTTATCGTTTTATCGGCATTTTGAGAGAGTTTGACACGATTTTCTCACGATAGAGAAACATCATATTATATAGGAATTTTCAGACGATATCGATTTCTCGCAAGGTGTGCGCAGATGGTCGCACTCGGAAGGTTTCGAGTTGGAATTTTGGTTGAGATTCATTCGAACAATCTTACGGAGGGCTTCTTCCCTTCTCGAGTTACCGTATCGAAAGAGACACACGTTTTGGACGTTTACATCCTTTCAACTAAGATGAAACTTTCATGATTTTAATGTAACATAACATTATTTACCCGAAGCGTAGTAAAAGTCAATTATCGGTAACTTATATAATGGCGTGGAAGAAATCTCACAATATATGTCCGACATATAAAGATGATTATAATAGAAATAGAAAAAAATTTTGTTTTTTACTCCAGAGAATTATCGGATAACGCGAAAGAATCTTCCTGCGTGTAACATACGTTGCAAATTCTTTCTTCTCATGATAACGCAATTATAATATCTCCCTCGCTCGAGGTCTTCTTCCTCGGGAGAGGACTCCGCTGCAAGAACAAAATTGCAGCGGCTCAGCGTTCGCGATGGCATTTGCACATTCCCTTCCCTGACTGAATTTCCCCTGAGGTGCTCTCTTTCTTCTTCCCCCTCAATCTTTATTTCTCTTTCTTTCTCTGTCTGTCTCTCTCTCTCTCTCTCTCTCTGCCCTTCTCGCTCCGCGTTCCTCTCTCGCGCGTCCTCTCCTCTCCTCGCGTTCACCATGCGATCGGCTGCCGAGTTTTTGAGCGAGGGGGCATAATTAAACGGCCTGACATCAAAAGCGGCATTCGACGGAATCTCATATTCCGTACAAAGTCGATCGATCCGGCGATCGGTCGCGGCTCTTGCGACAGAAAAGGCGCGCGCGAGCGGGAACGCGAGGACGATGCTTCGAAAAAGCGTCGGAGGTCGCTCGGGCATTCGGGGGGGCCCCGAGACCAAACGATTAGGGTATAGGTAGCCAGGCTGGGAGGGGAGGACGAAGGAGAAGAGAAGACGAGCAACGCCGTCCGTTCGGCGCGACGAATCGATTCCCGTTAATATCGATACCAGCGGGGCGAACAAAAGTGAAGCTACCTCTTTTACCTAAGAATCGACCACGCGAGTATTTACACGTCCATTCGTTTCGCACTCACGTTCTTTTTATATTATACATTATCTCGCTCGTCCCCCTTCTTTTTTCTCCTTACATGTTACTGTTCATCGGACAGCCTCAAAGCATCGGCAAGAAATCGACCCTCTGCAGCCTCCCGTTTTTCGTCCATCGATCGATCGAGCAAACAAGTTTCCCCCCTTTTTTCGAGCAACACAAACAGGCGCGAAAAAAGAGAGAGGAAGAGAGAGAAGAAGGAGCGATTAAAAGTTGCATTTTGCTAATATATATAGTAGCATTAATTTTTTGTTATATTTTGTTGTATAATAAACTCTTTTGGGACAAAAAAAATATATAATACTATTTTATATGTACTACGCCTTTCAAATGCTGTAAAAGTGCATTTTAAAAGATTAAACATTATTATAATACAATATTAAGAGGATCCTAAAGCGACCGCTTCTGGAATAAAATATTTAACAAAACAACCAGTATACAATTGGAGATCGCTTCTGGGATAAAATATTCTTTTTAATAACCAGAGCGC